ATTCCAACAAATTGAATGCAGCACTGGAGGAACTCACTTGTCTATCCCAAGACATTTGTAAGACAACTATCTGTCCTACTGACTGAAAGAGATTCATCCCAAAGAAAGCTGGTCCAACAGAAAATGGATAAGTTACAAGCTATGTTATTAGTATCACATGCAAATAGGGTTGGGCTACAGAGAATTTAAAAATGGCTGCAGCAGTACATTGACAAGTGCTATTGATACGTGCTGTCCAGTTGGTTCTGATTCACAGTGATCCAGTGTACAGAACAAATATTGCCTGGTCCTGCTCCATTCTTACAGTTTTATGCTTGATCCCATTGTTACAGTCAGTGAGTCAATCCATCTCCATGACAGTCTTTCTCTTTTCCACTGACCTTCGACCCTACCAAGCATGATGTCCTTTTCCAGGGACTAGTCTCTTGTGATGATAACATGCCCAAAGTATGTGAGACAAAATCTCACCATCTTCACTTCTAAGGAACATTCTGAATACTTAAATATTTGTTTGTTCTTCTATTGAATAATTACAATATTCTTTGCTGACAACATAGTTCGAATTAGTCCATTCGACCTTGATGTCTCTTATTCATTGTACTACTGTGAGGTGAGTGAAAAAGCCATGTGTACATCTCAGGTACATCTTAGGCCTCAAAGCAACACCCTTGCTCTTCAACACTTTTAAAGAAATCTTGTGTAGCAGATTTGCCCGATGCAGTATCTTGATTTCTTGATTGCTGCTTCCATGAGTACTGACTGTGCATCCAGGCAGAATTAAATCAGTGACAATTTTGATCTTTCCTCCGTGTATTATGATGTTGTCTATTTGTCCAGTTGTGCAGACTTTGGTTTTCCTCACATTCAGTTGTAATCCATACTGAAGGCTGAGTGTCTTGATCTGTATCAGCAAATGCTTCAAACCCTCCTTGTTTTCAGGAAACAGGAGTCTTCTACCCGAATATGGAAGGTTTATAAGCCTTCCTCTAATCCTGGTGCCACGTTCTACTTCATATAGTCCAACTTCTGATTATTTGCTCATCATACAGAATGAATACTTATGGTAAAAGGGTACAACCCAGACACATGCCTTCTCGGGTTTTAATACATGCAGCACCCCTTGTTTTCTTTGTATGACTGTTTGGTCCACGTACAGGTTCTGCATGAACACAATAAAATTCTCTGGTGTTCCCATTCTTCTCAATGCAATCCACCATAGTTTGTTATGGTTCACACAATTGAATGCCATTGTATAGTCAATAAAAAATAAGTAAACATAATTCTGGTACTCTTTGGTTTCAGCCAATAGTCATCTGAAATCAGCATTGATAATCCATTTTGATAAACCTCTTCTGAATCCAGCTTAAATTTCTGGAAGCTCCCTGTTGATGTACTGCGGCAACTGTTTTTGAATTATCTTCAGAAAAACTTCACATGCATGTGATATTCATAATAGTGTTCAGTAATTTCCCCATTCTCGGGATAACTTTTCTTTGGAATGTGGGGCGGGGGGGTAGGCTTCCCTCACAGGAATGGACACACATATAGATCTCTTCCAGTTGGTTGACTAAGTATGTCTTCTAAATTTTTTGGCAAACACCAGTGTTTTATCAACTTGTTGAAACACTGGCATTCCATTAATTCCTGGAGCCTTAGTTTTTTGCTAATGCCTTCGGTGCAGTTAGGCCATCTTCCTTCAATATCATTTGCTCTTGATCATATGCTACCTCTTGAAATGGTTGAATGCTGACGAGTTGTTGTGGTACAGTGACTTATCATTTGATGCTTCAAGCACTGGTCAATATTATGCCCACAGAATCTTTCAATATTACAACTCAGGGCATGAGCTTTTGCTTCAGGTTCTTTCACCTTGATATATGCTGATGTGCTCTGGTTTTACACGTCTTTACACATTTCATTGTAATGCTTTACTTTGTCATCTCAAGCTACCCTTTGAAATTTCTATTCAGTTTTTTACTTCATATCTTCCATTTTCTTAAGTCTCTCTATGATCAAGAACAAGGTTCAGGGTCTCTTTTGGTATCCACTTTAGTCTTTTTAGTGGTTTTTTTTGTTTCTTCAAGTATGATGTTCTTAAGGTAATCTGAGAGCTTCTGTCATTAGGGTTTTATGAATCATATTTTGAGAAGGTCTCAAAATTCTTGTGAAATATACTCAAGGTCATATTTTGGCTCTCATGGTCTTGTTTTTGCCTTCAACTTCAACCTAAACTTGCATAGGAGCAATTGATGCTGTATTCTGTAGTCAGCCTCTGACCGCCTTCTGGCTGCTATTATCAAGCTTCTCTATAGTCTCTTCCCACAGATGTAGTCAATTTGATGCCTGTGGACTCTGTCTGGCAGAGCCTATGTGAACAGTCCGTATTTATGTTGTTTAAAAAAGACAATTGCAATAAGAGTGGTAGGTCTTGCAAAATTCTGTGGTGCAAACTCCAGCTTAATTTTTATCATGAATAGCATTATTTTTTTTCCAACGACTGTCCTTTTTCTAGGAGCCCTGGTGGCATAATGGTTACGCATTGGGATGTCAACCACAAGGTAAGTAGTTTGAAACCACTAGCCACTTCTCAGGAGATAGATGGGGCTTTCTACTCCCATAAAGAGTTACAGTCTCAGAAACACACAGGGGCAGGTCTACCCTGTCCTAAGAGTCACTATGAGTCTGCTTCAACTCACTGGCAGTAAGTTTGGTTTGCCACCTTTCTCTTTTCTGACTTTCAAATCCAATTGACAATAATTTTCAATGAATCTTGATTACATATTTGATTAATTTCACACTGAGGAAGTTGATAGAATTCTTCAGTTTCTTCCTCACTAACTTTAGTGTTTGGTGTATAAATCTTAATAGCTGTATTAATTGGAGGCTTATAGGTATCACGCTATCCCAGAAAGCAGTGAACTTCAAGGTCAATCTTGACATGTTTATTTTGTTGATTACTGATGCCCATATTCCTTTTGAATTTGTTATTCCCAGCATATTAAACCACATAATTTCCCATTCAAAAGGGCCAACAGTGCATTTCAGCTCACTAATGCCTAGGGTATTTATCTTAATGTGTTCTGTTTCATTTTTTTTATGACTGTCAATTTTCCTACATTTTCACTTCATACATTCTATGCTCCAATTATTAATGGATATTTGTAGCTGTTTCTTCACATTTTGAGTTGTGACTCATAAGCAAACGAAGGTCCTAAAGACATTACTCTATCCACATCAATATGGCTGCCTCTACAATGAGGAAGCAGCTCTTTAAGGGTTGTGTCTTGAGTGCCTTCCAACCCGAAGGGCTCACCTGCTGCCATGCTACCTGGCGATGATCTGCTCTTAGTCACAGGGTTTCAACGGCTACTTCCCAGAAGTGAACTATCCACTCTCTCTTGGTAACAGATTCTTTGAGTGGAAGCTCAGCTGAGACGCATCCTGAGTGACCCTCCTGGTATGTTAAATACTAGTACATAGCTTCCAGCGGCACAGCAGCACACAAGCCACTACAGTAAAAAGCAAACAAACAAAACTGACAGACATGTGATGGACACGGACAGGTCTAAACCCAAACCAAACTCATTACCACTGAGTCAATTCCAATTGTAGCCACTCAATGGAAGAGTGAAACTGGCTGCCCAAGGCCGTGAATCTTTACAGGAGCAGAGAGGTCCATCTTTCACCCATGCAATAGATAGGGCATTTAAATTGCCGCCTTTGTGGTTAGCAGCTCAACATGTAACCCACAATACCACCAGGGCTGCCCATTGACAAGATAGTTGCCAGAAATGGAAGCAAATTCAGAAGAGAACACAGAACGGGGGATATCATTGTTAACATCAGATGGATGTTGGTTGAATGCAGAAAAAAACTGGAGGCTGTTTACCCATATTTCTTTTGCCAACATCTCTGAAAGTAAAAGCACTCTAACATATTTTATGTGTTTGATTTTAACCTAGACAAATTCTGGTGACTATTCAGACCTGGGTTTCAGTTCTTAATATATATGCATACATATTGACTGAGTGAGAAACCCACAAAATTAGAGTTCATATTTTAAGTCCTTATGCTACTAACTATAGTGACACCAACGGGCATTGTCATTTTTTAAACTGAAAAAAACAATCAATGAGACTTTCTTTACAGAAACTCGTTCTGCATCAAACTCATCACTCAAAATACTAATATTTTATGCTTGTAAAGTTAACACAAAATTAAATTGCAAAATTTTTCTCACAATATACTAAAACTATGGCCTATGGCAATATATGGCTACTATGAAGCATTTGTTCAGCTCTAGTGGACATATTTCCTGTGATTTATGTGAATGAAAGTTTCATTGGCTTCTTCACAAACTCAGTAATAAGGCTTCTTTTCTTCTATGAAGGAAGAAAATATAAGAACCTCTTTAAAATTAAGCCAACAAATATAATACTGAATTATTAATAAATAATCCAATTAATAAATGCCGAGCCTTTCCCCCTTGTGTCTATGGGTCTGTCATTTCACACATCAACCATTCTTTCATTCTTCAAATGCATTTCAAAGTGTCTACATAGTCCTTTAAAAAAATACTTTTTCATCTTCTAGACAGCTAACCAGAGTAACAGATTTCAAGTGAAATAGTAGGTTGCTTCAAAAAAAACAAACCAAAAAAACCCTGGTATCTAGATAAATTACCTATCATTTCCCCAAAAAGTTAAGAACAGGAAAACCAATAAATTGCCTTTGTCTATTACAATGTGAAGAACCCATGGGCCACAAAGTACATACAAGAAAATAATAATGTTTTAATATTATCAACCATATACAAACTCATGTGTAACATTTTAAAAACAGTAAAGTATTTCATTATTAGCATGTTTCAGAATACATACAAAACTAAATAATGTCTTCATTGGGAGATTAAAATAATCTGTACTTAGCTTTATTCTAAAATCTATTTGACAACTTGAAAAACAAGCAGATTTCATATCAAAAGTATAAAAAGAACTTACTTTAAGCACTCAGCATCATTTTGAGGCTTTTTGTGGATTTTAATTTTTTCTGCCTCTAGGTGTTTGGTAGTACAAATGGCTTCATTCTCCTTTTCTTCAAAAACTAAAGAATTAAGAAAATTCTTACAATCTTTAAGCATAAGAAGTATCTTTATTCACTCATTAAGAACATTGATCTAACTTTTAGTGCTTGTATGTAAAAACATCAGGCTAGTGATTTTAACAAAAAGTTGTAACTTTATAAACACCAGTGCTAACACTGATCAAATTAGTGGTTTAGTTATTCCTTTACAATGTAAATAATAGCACTATATCCCAAATGGTTTATAAATTTTGAAAGCATACTATTATCCTATCATGTGGGTATAACTATTTTTAGCAGTAAAATAAACTAGCTCATAAAGGTAGTACCTTTAAGGCTTTTTTGGAGAGTAAATAATTCTTGAATTAATTTATCCTTTTGATTCTGAAGTTCATTTAACAAGCCACTATCATGTTCCATTGACTTTATCTCTAGAAACAAATATAGAAAAAACATATGTTAAGTATTCAGCCTTTGCCTTATGTATAACAGCAAATATAAAGTTACTTTTTATTAACTTTTTCTTATATGGTAAAAACTTAAGCAGAATATGGTTGATTTTAAGCCCATGGCCACATAGGAACTCTTTTTTAATACACTGAACAGGATTCAATGTATACCAACTAGGAAAAAGAGTAAGTTAATTAATAGGCTACTAAAGAATTGAAAATAATGTCATACACTAAATATTTTTTAAAAATCACCTCAATCAGGGAAGAATATGCTATCCTTCCTAACTAACCATGTTTCAAGAGAGATTGCCTAGTATTCGGATGTCTACAAGCTTTCAGTTTTTGCTAATATTGGTGCCCTAATAAGAGCATCAAAGAGTCCTGGTGGTATAGTGGGCTTGTGTATTGCGCTCCTACCTACAAGGCCTGTGGTTCAAGTCTACCCGACAGGTCTTCAGAAGCAAGATGAAGCAATCTGCTGACACAAAGATTTATGGTCTATGAAACCCAACAGGACATGAGATCTAGTCTGCACTTTTGAGGATTGTACTTTGTTGGGTTGCTTTGAGTTGGAATTGACTGGATGGTGGTTGACCTAGAATAGTTATCCTTCCTTCCTTTCCACAGTGGAAACCGGTTCATCTTTTAAGACTCATTTCCCTGAGAAAGTTGTCCGTGACTTTTTTCTTTCAGAAATGGCTAGGGCTTCCAGACCTGTTAAAAAGAAATGGTAATAATGAACACCCTAGTGCAGGGGTCCTCAAACTTTTTAAACAGGGGGCCAGTTCACTGTCCCTCAGACCTGCTGGAGGGCCGGACTATAGTTTAAAAAAAAAAAACCTATGAACAAATTCCTATGCACACTGCACATATTGTATTTTGAAGTAAAAAACAAACGGGGCAAAAATACTCTGTGTGGTGGATAAATGTCCTCGGTGGGCCGCATGTGGCCCACGGGATGTAGTTTGAGGACGCCTGCTTAGTCCTATAATATTTTACCATTAGCTGTGATGATCATAACCAATATTTACCTCATTAAGTACGTTAGATGTAGGCTTTCCAGACCAGCTTCTTTATCCAATTGAGGAAGTTCCCTTGTATTCCGCATTTGCTAATATGCATGTTCATCAAGTACGGATGTTGGATTTTCTTAAATACTTTTTCTATATTTATTTAAATTATAATTTATTATTTATTATGTTAATATGAAACATTGCATTAATTACTGTTGAAATGTTGAACCAACCCTGCATTTGTATAACAAATGCCATTTGGTCAATCTATACTGTATTAGAATATTGTCAGATTTTTATTTGCTAACCTTTTGTTATAGTTTGTTTCTATGTTTATGAGAAACATATGCCTGCACTTTTCTTGGGAAGTCTTTATGTTGTTTTTTGTATCAGGGGAGTCTGGCGTCACAAATGTATTCAGTAGCACTCACTGATCTTCTATTTTCTGAACCAATGTGCAGAACTGGCATTATATTTCTCTCAATTTTTTAAATAGTCTATTAGTAAAAATATCTAGGCCCCAGAGTTTCCTTTGAAGAGATGCTTTTTAAAAATTTCATTTCTTAATAGGTGTATAGGGATATCTATTTCTACTTAGGCGAACCTTATGTAGCTAAGGCTTTTAAGACAATTATCCATTCTATGTAAGTTTTAAGAGACTGGGTCACATGTTCCTGGTTTTCACAGATGAAGTAATTTGGGGTTAAATCTTAAACATCATGTTGTAGAGAAATTGAATTTGGGACTCTTCTCTGGCTCTCCCATTTTCGTGGGACCTCCTCCCTTTTACTCTCCTAAGGCCCTGATGGCTCAGGACTTCTTCCATTGGATCTGCATAAGAAAGATGATGTTTTGGATCACAGTTTAATCAGCTCCTACACAATAATCCCTTGGACTACATCCGCTCTCAAGGCAATGCCACACCCACTCAAAAAGGAGAATTTGTTCCTTTGCAGGCATTAATTCAAGTTTTATTCCCTCCAAAACCAGTCTGCCTTTGTTGTTTCTGCCAAGACTTCAGGCAGTTGTGTGTGTGTGTTGGTTTGTAGTTTGTAGCTATTAGCTGTAGGTGGATCTGTTGTTAGGCATTTGCTCTCCTCTGTATCAGAAGCGGAATTCCTATTCATGACTTTTCAGTTCCAGAGTATCTCAAAGTTAGTTGCTGTTCAACCCTTTCTTATACACCTCTGCTATTAAATAGAGGAGCCCTGGTGGTACAGTTGTTAACATTCAGCTACCAAACCAAATCTTGATTGTTCAAACCCACCAGCTAATCCCCAGAAGAAAGATATGGCAGTCTGCTTCATAAAGACCACAGCCTTGAATGCCCTAAGGGGTAGTTTTACTCCATCTTTTAAGGTCATTTTGAGTCAGAATCAACTTGATGGCAGCAGGGGTTTGGAGTTAATTAGATAGGAGTACACAGCAAAATCACGTGTGGTCTTTTAAAACAAAACAAAGTCATTCAATGGCCCTCGAGCACAGCAATGCAGGTTCGGTAGGTCTAGGATGAGCCTCAAGCAGGTAAATCTAAAGTTTCCTAAATTACTACAGTGTGGTTAGGTTCCACCGAGTTGGTTCCACCTCACAGTGACCCTCTGTACAGCAGAACACAACACTGCTCGGTCCTTTGCCATCATCACACTCGTCCCTATGTTTGAGCCCATTGTTTAGCCACTGGGTCAATCCATCTTGTCAAGGGCCTTCCTGTTTTACACTGCCCTCCACTTTACCATGCAGGGCATCTTTACTATTAGCATTCCTCTTTTAGAATCTACGTCCTACACTCCCTGCCCCAAATAATTGACCCTAATTTCCTTTATTATAATATAGGATGGATTAAGAATTATAATCTCAATATTACTGGGGCATAGTCATGTACCAAGAAGCCCAGGTGGCATAAGGGTGATCGAACTCACTAACAGTTTCACAGGAGAGAAGATCTTGCTATTTGTTACTGAAAGTATAACACTTTAAGAAACTCTATTGGGCAGTTCTGTTCTGTCATAGAAAGTCAGTATGAGGCAAAATTGACTCAACGGTGCACAATAACAATAGATCTTGTACTAGGCAGCATTTTGAGAACTTAAATTTGACTCCTCATTACAATTCTATAAAGTTTTTATTTTCACATTTTTACCAATGAGAAAACTGAGAAGAAAAGGTATTAAGAAAGAAATTTAAGATTTAAAATCAACTAAGTCTGACTTTAACATTTGTAATATTCAGAATGGTAGTTGTTGCCTCATATAAATCCAGTAAATATTACCTACATTAAATGCTATGTAAAAAACAATTATTCAACGTGACAGAAGTGTGTTTATAATTTCCCATTTACACAATGTATAATACAGGTAAAAGGATATTTTGGAAAGGCCTCCCCTGAAAGTTAATTTTCCATTTAATTTCATTTGTATTTACATTTTCTATTTTGTCAACTCCTCACTCCATAACTCTCCACCCTCTGTTCGCACTCTACACCATGATTATGCTCTTCGGTAGTATAATAGTTATCTCTGATTGCCAATCAATATCCTATTTTTGATGCCTTTCTTTTGTGGAAATGGTTTTGAACTTTCGGTCTTTAAAATATTGCTCTCTGGTGGTTTTCCTCTTCCCTCTTGGACTCCTCCTTCTGACGAGTCATCTTCCTTCCCTTAACTGCTGCGATTTCCCAGCTTTCCATCACTGGTCTTTGGTGATTTTCCATGTTACCTACATATGTTCCCTTTGAATGAGGTCACCAACTCTCTTCAGTGACTCTCAAATCTAATCTCTGCTATCTCCTCAACTTCACAACAAATTGTTACCTGCCAATCAGGCATCTCCACCTGTATGTTTCATTGACATGGCCAATTAAAAGTACCTGAAACCAAACTCATCCTTTCGTCCAGAAAAAAGGTCTACCTTAATACTCTTCCTCCTGGTACTATCATTCTGCCAAATCTCCAAGGTTTGACAAGAAGATTAATCCATGGCTTTCCCTGTTTTCATCCATATCTAATCAGTCACAGAGTCCCATCAGCTTTCCTTAACATCTCTTGAATTTATCCCCTCCTCACTTCCTGTTTCCATCCCATTGTACTGCAGGTAACTGATCACACATATCCTTTCTCCAGTTTTTTACTTCTATAGCCCCAAGATGCAAAGCATTACCTATCAGATAAGAGATTGCAAATAGATGTTTAATGAATGAGTGGCTAAGTGTTCATGTCACATCTACTTTCAAAGAAATTTGCGACTTCACAACAAGACAACAATATATTTTAACAATTAAGATAAATAAAACAGCTATGCAAAAAATGCATTTGCTTATGAAAAAAGTTGTTTATGGAAAATTAAACCAATTCAAAATAAATTATTTCTTATTATTCCCAGATAAATGAGGAGTAATTCCAGGGCCAGTGAATTATTTAATGTGGCTCTTCTAGCCAAAGTCTCTGTAACTCCCACCTAATGGCCTTTTCCAGCAAGGGTCTGGGTAAGAAGGTGAGGGAAAACGCTAATAGGACTCACCTGTGAGAACTGTTAACAGGATACACAGCGAATTGTCATATGAATGTGTCATAATTGCTGGGTATAAAATGAGCCCTTAGAGAAGTAGGAGGGGGGCATCACACTACCAGAACAAGCCAGGAGTGAGGCATGTCCTGTGGACCCCGAGTACTCTGCACAACAAACCTCCAGGAGTCAGACTGGTGAACTTCCCAGCAGGAGGCTGGCTTCTGGAGTGGGGTGCCTCTGGGCCCTTAATTAGGGGAGAGAGATTTGTTGACACACAGAGGTAGAGCTGAAGTCTTCAAGTTGAGGCTTGTGGGGTGCCTCTGGGCAGTGAATTCAGGGAGCTAGATTCTCTGACTCACTGACTGATACTGAGCTGAATGCCTTTGGTTGAGGATTACAGTGAACAACCTTCTCTTTGGGCATTTATTAGCCACCCTGAAAGAATGTTGTAACAAGGCCAGACTGAATGACTACATCCTGAGCATTTCTCACCTGTTAACTTCCTTGCTAAACCTTTAAATCATGAATATTATGTCTAAGTTCTGTGAGGCCATTGCAATGAATTACCAAACTCATTAGTGGAAAGAGTAGAAAATCTTGTGAGTGATAGAACAGTAATCATACCCTTTTTCAAAATGTTTGCTTGGTTTTCTAAGCCAGCTATTTCAATCTTGACATTTTCTTTCATCAAAAGCTCTCTTTTCTTTGTTATTTCATATTTATTATTGAAATCTGTAATTTCCTTAATAAACTTTTCCTCTTCCTCTTCCATTTTTTTCTTTGTAGCCTCCTGAAAAATAAAAATGAAAAACTAAATATAGCTATTAGGTACAAAAGTTTTTCTTTAGTAATTTAAAATGCAATAATTTGGAATTAACAAAATTAAAAATTATACTTTCCAATATTATCACAAAAATGCTTTACTCCTCCAGTGATATTACTCATAACAGAAGTGAGATCAAAATATTACTATCTTTTCCTAAGAAATGTCAATTAATTATAAACCAAATTCAAAAACTGGCGATGTCAATAAAAACTGTTTCTTCTGTGACTCTTACATAAGATAAAATGATAAATTCAATTCTTTAACCCACACTTATAAATAGACCTTAATATTTAATAATAAATAGACCTTAAGTGAAACCCTCTAAGTCTTTGAAAAGCACTAAAACCAAGGTCTCAAAGTATAAACAACTTGTCACCATTTCTATATCTACTATACCTATAAATACCCTGTACAAGGGAGCCTCTAAGATGTTCATGGAAAAATTATAAGATATAATTTTTTCTATGAGCTTTTTGAAGCCCACTCATATATTGTAACTTTTCCAACTATATTCTAACTATATTACTCTACCAACTAGTTTCAAAAGGTCTTAATACTTTTCCACATCTGAACAAGCCTATCTGCTAATAGGCATGTGGAAATTTTACTAAAAGTACATATAAGTATTGTTAAACACTTTTTGACAAAATTGGCAATATAGATATTTGTAAGTTAGCTGTCGACTTACAGAAGTTTGAAGAAATATATTCCTCTGCTTTATAATTTCATTGTTTTGTCTTTTTAATGCATCTTCATGAGTTTTCAAAAGTGCCAAGAGGAAGGATTTCTCAGAAAGTTGTTGAACCTTCAAAGTGAAAAAATCAAAAACAAAATACCAACAACCCAGCAATCAACATTAAACACAGATATTTTAGGATGCCTTAGTTAATAGAACATATCTCTATAATGTGAATAATTTTTGGTATTTACCTTTAAATGCAAATTAAAATTCCTGTAAGCATATTATTTTATGTGCTTTCAATGATTATAGTTTTATAATCTCTTCTCACATAAGACGATCAGCCTCTGAAGCATAGAGAAAGTGCTCTCTTTCCACTCCAATACCCGTACGGTTCTTGGCGTTTGCACTCGAGCTTGTGCACTGTGTGGCTTGTCTTGGAGTCGATTCTGACCCAGGGCAGCCCCACAGCTTACAGGCAGGTCTTCTCCACAGAATTTTCTTGGCAATAATATTAATAAAAACAGTTCACCAAGACTTTTTCCTCATGAAACCACTGAATGGCTTCAAATTATCAACCTTTAGGTTAGCAGTCAAACACAAACCATTTGCCCCACCTGTTTTTGTGTGTGTATCCGTCAATGCACATTGAAACAGTCTTCAAGACAGTTTGTTTTATAGAACAAGCTTTTGTTCTTATAACTTATATGGAATAGATAAATAAATCATGTACCCTACATGACTAATAAAATGAGATAAATTTACAAACAATTGAAAAAATCCAGTCCAATGCTGACAGTGCACATATTATGAGATCAAATAAAACAAATATTTTCAGAAATCCTGAAATAGATTTTGAGAACTTATATTTCTTATTCTAGTAATTCATTTGGTTCTAAATAGTCTAAATTACAATAAACATCAATATATACAACTATTTTATCATTTGGGCCTAAAAGAATGGCATCTCCTGACCCTATGAATACTGAAATGAAAGTCAGGAAGCTAAAAGCTAAAAGTGAAAATAAAAGTGAAGCTACACTGGAAATAACCTGTCCACTGTGTTTAGTGCTGGCCCCCGAAAGGTGGCATCATTTCTGGTTTGGGCCTGTTCCCATCTCCACAGAGTAAAGAGAGAGAGATTCAACTTAAATTGCAGAGAGCAAGATTTATGTTAGCTATAAGAACTTTCTCAAGGTGCGAAACAGGTTCTGAATTCTCTGCCCCAGAAGATATTGAACAGTAAACTGCTGAGGGATAGTCTAGTCTAGAAGTAAAGGGTTGGGCCTAAAAGAGATTCTGAAATTTTATGGCTAAAATGTCCTAGGAATACTGACATTTAAAAGCAAGTAGCAGAAATCAAAGAGAAAATATGATTTTACATTTCTACAAGACCACAGCACATCTACCTGCAACTTTGGTGTAGTTTTGAGCAACCACATCTTTAAAAAGACATTGATATAGAATAGAGATGAACAATTTGCATGGTCAAAAGAATGGATAAATTAAATTTAACATTTGGTGTAGGGGAAATGGGATGATCATTATTTTGTCTGATAGGCAGAAACTAGAAAACCAAATCTAAAAAAGCAAATGGAAATTGGTAATAAGGGTAAAGAAGCGGAGGGTCATGAATTATATCACACTTATTTAGAATAAGGAAATGCTTCAAGGATATTTAGTTTTTGTTATAGAAATAAGGTATCATTAGTATTTTTTGTGTAAATGTACATTAATAAATATAAATAAATATGAGGTCCAAATTCACACACAGCTATCGAGTCGATGCCGACTGGTAGCAATCCTATAGCACAGGTTAGAACTGCCCCTGTGGGTTTCTGAGACTGTAACTGTTTATGGCAGTAGAGAGCCTCATCTTTCTCCCCAGGAGTAGCTGGTGGTTTCTAACTGCTGACCTGTCATTAAGCAGCCCCATGCATTACCACTAAGCCAATAAGGATCCCTAAAATGAGGTCCAGAGAGATTAGCTGTCTTTTTGAAGTTTATATGGCTATTTAGGCAAAAACCTAAGAATAATGCAGGTCTCCTAACTTTCTTTTAAATTATAGTATTAACACAGAAACAGAACTACAGTGAACCCTCGTTTATCGCGGCTAATCGGTTCTAGACCCTACCGTGATAAATGAAATTCCGCGAAGTAGGGCTCCTTATTTGTAAATCAAATATTTTTCTAGTTAGAGCATAGAGGATTGCAGAAGAGGATTCTGGTTGAGGTTTGTCTGCTGTAAAACGTTGATAGAGCTGCCTTGCCTTCTCCCGGATGACTATCGAATCCAACGGAATGTTTTTCTTGCGCCTGTCATTGATCCAAACGGCTAGGACAGACTCCGTTTTTACTATGAACTTATTACGACTTGTCACAATGCGCTTTGCTTCCTTGTTGAAAGTGAAAGTAGCCGTAGCACGGGTGTTTTTTTCCTCTTTACGGATGGAGCGAACGGAAGACTCATTCAAGTCGAAATGGCGTGCAACCCCCACAATTTTCTTGCCATCTTTGATCATATCCAAAAGTTTTACCTTTTCCTGGATGGTGAGCATCTTCCTCTGGCGCTTATTTTTATTGTCAGAAGGCTTAGAAGAAGCAGCTCGTTTAGGAGCCATCATAGGGCTTAGATAAAATTTCTTAAAAATCGCAAACAATTACAGTACACTGTACAAAAGCAAAAATGCATCTGATACATAGCTCCGATACGTAGCAATGCAAACAGAAGCGTGTACAGTATGAGCCAATCAGTGGCAGTAATGACAGAGCATGTGGTTACGCAAAAACCGCGATAGAGTGAAGCCGCGGAAGTCGAAGCGCGAAGTGGCGAGGGTTCACTGTATTTCAAAATAAAGAAATGGGAAGTTTGATGCTAAAGAGCCTTTAATCTATCCTAATAGTACAAGTTGAAAAAAACATAGTATAAATGTAAGATACATTTTGAAAATTGTCAAAAACAGATCCATCAGAGAGTATTGAGAGAAGGTCACTTGTAAAATAAACCTATTCTTATAGATGCTACTGTGGACATTAACCATGAAAGCCCACAAAAATACTCTGAAGACCAAGCATTGGGATTGATAGACTTTCGTTGTATCTAATAAAATATTCTAGGCGTATGCATTTCAGAATAAAAATTTCTGAGTTCAGACTGTTTGTAGTAACTGACCTATATATAAAGCCTGTGTCAAATCCCATAAATGAAGAATAAATTACATACCAACATAAGAAATTTTAAGTAATTTTAAATAAGATGGAAGCAAATTAATTATTCAAATTCAGAACAGCTTTCTGTTAGGGACTTGGAAATTAGAGTGTTTGTTCCAGTTATCTTCTGCTAAGACCTGAAATAACCACAATTATAACTGAGATCACATCTTCTTTCTTGAAGGCGAGAAACAGTAATACTCAAAAGAGCCGTCAGTGGCATACAGGCATTTGGCTGGAATGTTTTTCGATAATCTCATAGTAAACCATAAAGCTACATAAGATAGCCCGAACTGAAAAGCCGACTGCTTTTCAAAAAGTCTATATTAAAGGTATTAATACCTATGATCTCCTCTTCCCTGAAATTCTATGTTAATAATACATCTTGAGCTCCTGTTTGTTTATACCATTGTATGTATTATTAATCTCTATTCTCTAGTTCCACTTTCTTAACCTGCCAAATTTTATTTCTATAGTTTTCTCTTTTAATGAAGACTTTAAAAGCCTCAAAGTTATAACTAGAGAAAGATTCATTTAAAAGCATGTTTTTTAAGTTGTTATTGAGTTGATTCTGATGCATGGAAATCCCACGTGGGTCAAAGCAGAACTGTTCTCCACAGAGGTTTTTTGTTGTTGTTGTTCGTTCTGTGCTTTTAATTACCATTTGATTGGCAAATGGTTATTGATACAGATTCACATAATTGCCACAATATTGTATCTAAAACACAAGGTAATTTGGCAAAAGGAGCCACTCTAAAGACACTGCCAGCAACGAGAAGGACAGCACGTCCTAGTAGCAAGTACAGCACAAGCCAGGGGATGAGAAGCATCAAGGCAATATGGGCACAGGGACACCTCTGACCAGAGCACAGAAGTAAACGACTGCAGAATCTTAACTTTTTAAGTATAGTCCCAGAAAAATAAGCAAGTCTTCCCTGGAGTAAGCGCAGCCAGGTGCTCCTTGGAAACCAGAACGGCAAGACTTGACCCAGAAGTGGATCACCAGGCCTTTCTTCTGCAGGGCCTCTTCATCTCCAAACTTTCAATTAGTAAGTGAGCATGCTAACCATTTGCACCCCCCATCATCTCCACAGAAAGATTACCTGGGTATTAATTTTAATACGTACTGAGTATTTATGATGAAAACATTTAATATAAAAAGGTATTAGCAAATAAGACAAACAGTACAGAGAAAGTCTGGCATTGGGAAAGCTAAATTAGAAAAATCAATTAAGAATAGGTGCGCACAAAGTCATATTGGTAAGGACATCGATAAGTTAAGGCTGCTGAATTACATAAGACTTAATAGTATTAATAGATAGCGCTCCTATTTTAATAAAACTGAAGGTATGAAAGAACTTCTTTCAGTTCCATAAATTAACGCTTCAGAACTAAAATAGTTTTTCATGGCCATCTATTTGCAAAATGGGCTGCTGGTTATTTATTCTTTCTGCTGTTTCAATTAATATCTCGTATTATTTTTTACATCCCTGTGAAACAGGCCTACTGGTGTGCAAAATGTGGGTACTTTTTGCAAATATAACCTTGAACATATTGATGAAATCAAAGAAGAGGTGACTTCATAGAAGAAATTATTATCAGAAAACTCTCTTTCCGATAACAATGCTAAGGTAATATGTAGATATCAGATACGGTATATGAAACATAAAATATGTTTGAACATAGCACTCTGGGTCCTTTGAATTGAGACACTATCATATCCCTAGCAGGTGAATACCTTATACTAAATAAAAACTTAAAAACAACTGCCTCAGTCCCTAAGCTACCCAGGGTCCCTAAGGGGCTGCGAACATGAAAAGGAGGAAGTGATTCCTATTAGCATGAATACAACTGTTTTTCTCTTCTCTCTGCCCCTGACCAGAAATTTAAAAAAAAATTGCATAAAGTCTTAAAG